ATACGGAACAACACGTTCAGATGACACGTATGTGTACGTTGCGCACGTGTTGGCTCGTTTCGCGGAGAGCGAAAGATCAATAAATGATTTTTTTTTAAAAAAAGTGCAATATTTCATAATTTCACTGATAAAGTTGCTCTGAGTATCTTAATAAAAAGATTCTTTACAAAATTTTACTTCAAATGCAGTCAGTTTGTTCGTATTATATTGTTTACTAATGTAAATTTTATGTTTTAACGTGTTTGTTATTTGTTACTGCGGTGGCACGTGAATTTACGTATCATTACCCGTGCCAAATCCCGTGCAGATTCTACCAGTAAACTGCTGCAAAACCAAACACGTACCATTTACGATCCAATTTGCACGGGCATACGGTCCCACACGAACCACCGAATCCGTACCAACTCGGACCATACCCGTATAATCCGGTCTTGACCCGTGCCACAAAGGCCCGTGCCTATCCGTAACTAACCCGTACCGATCCGAACCATTTTTTCTTATAGGGCAGGTTGGGAAAACTTCTGATGGGCACTGTAAGTTTACATCACTATCTATGCCATAATCATGACTCAAATTTACAAGACATTAGTTAAATTTACTCATTAATCCTAAATAAAGCATCTAGTTTCTGGTTTTAGCGTGACAGCGTCGCGCAGCAACATAATTTTTATTGATTTTAAATTTCAATATACAGGTTTTGATAACTAGTATATTTAAATTTGATGTATATCTTGTTTTAAAATCAATAAAATTATAGGCTTCGAGAAATTAAAAGCTGTTACTATTTATCACCCCATTTTTTGTAAGCATATTGTTCAAAAGTAGTAATCTTTGGATGTAAAACTTTAGCGATGGAAATGTCACAAGCTTCAGGGTCAGCGAGAAAAAGTCCGTATTCTTTAATCCAACGATTCTATTGAAAATAGATAATAAATATTTATTATTTCAAAAAATAAAAATAAAAAAACAGTCCGAATGACATACCATTTCGAGTAATGCTTCACTAAATAGAGGGAAATTCTTTTTTCGTTTCTTCGCGACTGGGAGTGCGAAGCTTAAATTGTCTTCCAGTAACTGATAGTTTAGTAAAAAAGAAATTTTAACATTTAATAATTATATAGATAAACAAAAAATTATTAGAAACTTACCCTTAGTAAATGTTTCGGCAATTTTTCCAAAAGTAATGCGTTCCGAAGCAACAGGAACTTTCTTTCCATTCCACTTTTCTGGCCCTTCTTCAATAACTTTGGCTACAACGGGCTGATAACATTTTTATAAATTATTATTATTTCTGTAAAGCCTGTTAATATAGATGATTATATGATTCCTTACGCCAGTGTCAGTTTCAGCGTCAACCATCTCAATAGTGGAGTCTTCTTTGACCAATGGAACAATAAGTTCAGATGTTCCATCATCTTTTGTGATAATAGGATAAAATGTACCAAAATTCCTGCCATAGAAACCAACGTAGATAAATGTGGAGTTCGGAATACCCAAAGTTCTAATGTATTTTTCAGCCCGGTTTTTACCTATACATATGGTATTTGAATATATTAAAATCGTATAAAGACCAAAGACCGTATAATAAATTGGCATTCTTACCGTTAAAATTTGCGACATTGTAATTATGTTCTTCGAATCCCTCAATTGTAGTAGGAAGAGAACTTAATGTAGATATTAAGTAAGGTCAGTCCTCATGGAATAGAAATATTTCTTTATAACATTATATACCTATAAATAAGCCAATTCAATCCGATTTCTTTAGCGACGTCGCCAATCATTTTAGCTTGTCTTTCTTCTTCACCAATGTTATTTGGGTAAATGGACTAATAAAATATTCACGATTGTCATAAAATATAGTAATTATTACATAGTTAATAAATGTGATTCCTTAGTTACCGGATCAAAGAAATCGGTGACAATGTATGCGATATCAGAGCCCTTAAGCGCATTCTTGACATCTTCTTTAATGGAAAGGTCGGCCTTGAAAACTTCGGCACCCTTTGCAACAAGAGCTTTTGCTTTATCAGATTTAGGGTTACGTGTAAGAGCACGGACTCTATATTTTCCTGTTGCAAGGAGGGTATTGACGACAGATCCTCCTGTGTATAAAACATGTGCTTATTATTAAAATGTTGACACGTTTTGGGCGAACACGAAAAAGTAATACCTTGAGCACCTAAAGTATGTATAAAAAGTCAATATAACATTAATAAATGTCATTAAATATGTTGAGTTATCGTTATCAAAATTTATTACCAGTAGCTCCACTGACGACTACCAAAGGTTTATGAAACGACATTTTGGAATTTTGATTTTTTTTTAAAGTTTTAATGTTTAGCACGAAGAGACTTTAGCAGCTAATCTATTATAATAGTGAATTGAAAAAAAATATGATTTCAATTCAGAAGAGGCCTCGAGCCTTTTATATTATAAAACTTGTTATAAATCTGATTATACGTCAAGATATATTATAAATTGATTAATAATCAAATGAATTAAGATTACCTTCCTGATACATAAATTCTGAATTGAAATAATCATCAAAAAGCACGATACAATGCATTTATTTTGGTGATTTTTTCTTTTTAGATCGAAGAAGGGAAATTGCTAATTTACACCACAAGTGGTTATCACATATAGTCAATTTGCCAATCAATATTCAGGATAAATTGTAACATGTAAATAAATTTAAAAATTTTGCCTATGAAGCTACCTTTTAATCTTTAACAAAAAAAAATTCCTTGCTATATATAAAACTCCACCCTAATATTTAATCCTTGTTCTTACCCTAATCTTAAAGATGTTGATTTTTATTATTATCAAACAAATACTTAATAGTTATTCGGCACTTCGTGCCGTATAACTGAGGTATACGCTGTATGCGATTTGATTGGGCGATTTTAAGCACCCAAGTTTCGGCCAAGCAGATCACATTTGCAAATACTGATAAGGTACCGTAGTGTTCTAATATAGCGCTTTACTATATTAGAACTAGGACTGTTAAGTGGTCCGATTCAAACTGATGGACCGCCGATCGGTCCTAATATCAGTTATTATTATTATTAAATCATTGCTATAGATAAAATTAGATCATGTACACAATAAATGAAATATCGAATTATAGTCGTGAAACCCCTTTTAATGAGTTGACATAATATCATAGGCTAAGATAACTTGGAAAACTGAATTTCTTATGATGTAAATCATGTGTAGGGCTATTAGCGATTGTACCCGTCAAGAAAATCTCGGGTATTATTAAATTATCCAGTTATCCGGGTAATTTATTATAGCCATATAATAAAAATGTTTGCCAGGTACAATCTCAAAGGGCTGTTAATCAGTTTTAATAAAACTGCCAGTCCTGCGGTTTGTCTTAGGACCGGACCAGTCTAGTCAGTGAATAAAATTCGATGCGCGCACAAAAAAATAATAATAATACTGTACGCAAAGCGATGCAACTTTTTTAGAATTATTTAAAATAATATTACTATATAGTTAGCCTTGTTATACTGTATCGAACTTTGCGCACATTGATTCTAAAATTTGGTAAGCCAAATTTTGACTTCGAATTTTATTCACTGGTCTAGTCTTTTATAGGACAAACCAAAAAGACTATCGGTCCTAATATGAGGTGTTACAGATTAAAACAGCCATTTTTGCAATTTTTTTGAAAAATTGTTTTATTTGATTTTTAAATAGACACCTATTCAATAAAAAACTTTGTCATAAGTAATAAAATCTAATTGTATAGTAATAAGATCCACAAAATGAACTTGAAATAAAATTTTCATATGTATTACTATTTGTAGATCATCGCTTAAATCCGAATGATTATTAGGGATATTCAATCTTGCTCGGCACATCTTGCTATATATGAGGATTAGAGATGCGAACCGTTTGCCGATCCTAACAGTTTTCAGCCCAAATTAACCGTAATGCGGGCCAAAAACTGTTAGGATCGACAAACGGTTCGCATCTCTAATGAGGATGCATCAACCTTTTTACTAGATTTAAATCGTACAGTTTTTGTAGCTTGAGTTATCTTTGCGCATGAAAATCTGCAGTCAAAATTACCTTGGAATTCCAGGAAAGGAAATATTTCATCGACCCTTTTTATATTGATGATTTTCACATTCATATTGATATTATTATTATACTGATTTTCTGTAATCTCAATTTTGATTATTCCACATCTTTTAGGTTTAGAGATTAACACAGCTTAGAACAGTTTTCAAAATCCTATCGTAAAATATTACACAAAAAACAAGCATTTTGTCTTAGCAAAGAAATTTTCTTGCAATCTAGAAAAATTTTAAATTATAATTTAAGTATGGCATAGTATGTTATATTATTAAATAAAAAATTAAATATAAGGTAGATCCCAAGTTGAAGCCCTTTCTTAATCTTCAGGATTATGATGGTTGTTTTCGAGTATTTCCTCAGAAAATTCTAATACTTTGAGAAATTTGCATTGGTTGAAACATTCTCGTGATTTCCTTCTCAAACTTTCGAAAATATTATTATGTCAAGTAAATAAAGTGGAGATGAAGTCATAATCAAGTGAATTTTTGAATGTATCTGTATTATCTTGGCCTCTTGAGTAAATTTCGCTATTCTCAGATAATGTTTCGATAGAATTATATTGACTCAAAGTTTCAATAGTAATAAGTTGCTTTAAAGTATAAAGAAATAATATTGTTTTTGGGTGCTTTGCAAGATCGTTGTCCCAACATTTTTGGTAAACTTCAATATATTGAGATGGTGTACCTTCTATAGGTTTTTCTCTATCTCTTTGATATACATGAAACAGAGTTCCATCTTGGATTCGAAGGTTTAAAATGGAGGTCTACCACTTAAAATTTCCCAAAGGATTATCTCAAAACTATAAATATCTAATCTCTTATCATGCTTATATCCTTGCTTACGGCCGTTTTCAAAAATGTGTGAACAACGATTTCATATACCTATGTGGGAAATCGAAGAATTTGGAAATTTATATTAGTAAAAATTAAACTTCGATTAGAGAGGGTCTTAAAAACTTCAGAAATCTGGGAAATATTGTGAATGCCCCATGACATGACGATCTGCAACCGTCACACCTTTTTGAAAACAGCTGTAATAAGACATTGAGGTTCGATATATGTCATCCCATGAGCAATGCAATTCTTGAATGTGTGCCAGGTTGATGGCGCACTACCCAGCCACAATGATCTTATTTATTTCGGTATGTACTGTACAGTTCATTCGTAAAATTTCTTTTTCAATGAAAACTTCAACTATGTGTTTCTGTATTTTGAATATTTTCTATCTTTCTTTTGTGAATTGAACACATAACAAAAATAATATAATTTTAAAATTTTAGTTCAATTATTATAAAAAGGTACATTATAAAGGGAATTGAACGTACTTAATACAGTAATATGGGGGTCTGTTCCTTGAAAATCAAGTTTTAATCATATGATTTACTATGTCCCGTAAGGTCATTTTCAAGGAACAGACCCCATATGTAAGTAATCTTGGAAGTATGTAAGATTAACAAAACTTATAAAATTTAGGTTTAAAAATGAATCGTTTTTAACATTAAGGAACACTACTATTATTTTTTTTTAAGATATGATTCAGTGTTGATTATGAGAAATGTTTTTTTTTTGATTAAAGAATTTTTTTTACAAACTATACAATATGTATTTACTTGAGATTTATTATCATACTTTTAAAGCCAATATTTTTCTTATACGCGTATTATATTGACTTCTGTCTGTAAAATTATGAAAATTTTAAATCATAAACATTACAAAAGTAAAGAAATATGTGTATTTTTTTGAATTCAAAAAAACAATATTAGAAGCTAAATATTATGAGAAAAAATAAAGGGAAACGGCTTTTTTGAAAATAACAAGAATGTGAGAGAAATAAAGCTAAAAAATAGTGTTTCGTTATATTAAATTTATAATTTTATTATTGTTATCATTAGGATTTTTTAGTGCTGCAAAATATTTGGACTAATTAATGCGCCATCAACCTGGCACACATTCAAAAATTGCATGAGCAATTGAGTTTGAAGTTATAGACATTTCATTCATCTGCTTTGACAGTCCAAAATCGGTAATATTTGATTGCCTTTGATGGATCAAGAAGTTAAAATATAATGATTAAAAGTATGCATTAGTAAATTAATAACTGATAAATATAAAAATCTATTAAATATAGATAAATATAAAAATCTATTAAATATAACATACCCGTATAGTCGCGAAATAACGTGCAGGGGTGTAATTTCGAATTTCGCCTGAATTAAGCTTAATCCGAAATTCGAAATAACGCCCCTGCGCGTTATTTCGCGGCTATACGGTAGTACTTACCAGATCTCTATTAATAATGATAATATGTAATAATAAAAGTCTGAGCAATATTTCTATAGCAATGGATAGTTTATCTGTCCATTGCCAATTTTGTAGAATTTTTCATTATGTATTCTCGTAAAGTTCCGTCGTTAGCATATTGTAAGACCATATTATAATATCCATTGTTATCTATATTCAATTTAATAAATTTATATTCGATTTGATGAATATTTTATCATTATTTGAAATATTGATAATTTCAAAATTTATAAATTACTTGTATACCTTTATGAATCTATAGAAAGTAATAATATTTGGATGGCAAGAAACTTTTCGTAATAGTTTAAGCTAATTATATGAATTTTAAATTTATTATTCTGTATTCAGTAGTAGTATACCGGTAAAGTTTTAATATAACAACTAAACCTTATTAATAAAATCTTTAATGTTTCTTTCATCGATGCTTTAAGACATTTAAGAGCAACTCATATTTAAGAACCTTTCCAAAACCTCCAATGCCTATCAAAATAGGGTCTATAAAAGTTATTGCATTCGGTGTAATTAATATGCCGTTCGTCTGATATGTTTGCCATAGCTTTCTGTTGTACTAATCTTGGTCGAAAAACAACGTTTTATTCATCAACGAAATACCAATACAGTTTTTTTTTTTTTTACATATTTTTACATACCGTATATCCGCGGAATAACGTACAGGGGCGTTATTTCGATTTTTTTGACCTAAATTAAGCTTAATTCGTGTCAAGATTTGAAATAACGCCCCTGTGCGTTATTCCGCGGCTATATGGTACATATTACATTCCACGGCATTTTAATTTTACCAAATCTAAAGCCTGATATAGAATTTTTTTTTTTTTTTTTTTTTTATTACAGAGTCGGTCAATCACATCAGTTGAGGGGCTTCGAAATTATATCGGCTGTTGGTTATGAACTGCCACCGTGAAAGGATGGTAACTATCCAAAAAATTCAGAACCAAAGGAGAATATCAGTAATTATCAGAAAGACCATGTACAAATAGAAGAAAGAAAATTTTCTGGTGCTTTTGGAAATTAAGTCTCTTCTTGTACGTATATGTTGTAGCCCTCAGTGACCATGCAGTGACAATAACAGAATAATAAAAATAATAGAAATAATGAAAAAACAAATACCGATATCTTATCATCTTAGTACAAAGAACGAATACGAAAGGTAAAAGTTTTCTTTGTTTTCTCATATACTTTATATATGTCGTACGTCGGAACGAAATAATTGTAGATTTAGAATCAACTTAGGTTAGAACAGAATACCGAATGTAATCCAAGTTGATTTGTAATTTAAAAGCAACTTAAGTCGATTCTATACTTAATTCTATATAATAGATAATTCAATAGCAACTTAAGTTGATTTAATTCGATACTGTAATAAATTATGATATATTGTCAAAATAAAATACAAATCTTTTATTGTCACGTATTTTCCGAAGAGCCCTTATACCTTGTAAAAGGTATGCAAATTGATATTGAATCGTTTGGTGAATTGCGAAGTAGGAAAGCTCAACGAATATGTGACTCGATCGATTCACGTGACCACGTGATCGATCGGAGTCGTACGTAGGGTTTTTAAGTTACTTGATACCGTATTATACAATTGGCATAATACCCGTATAATACCAGTATTATACACAGAGGGTATATGTACAATACCATAATTAAAAATAATTTAGCCAATTAAATCGGTTTATTTGAGGACACGAAGATTTCCGATTTAAACAAGCTAATTTTTAAAAATTTCCGACCATATTAAACTACATAGAAGCAAAATATTGGTACCGGTAATACAGTATTATACAGTATTATACTACCATTTCTATTATACCGGTATAATAAAAACCCTAGTCGTACGTAGGTAAATCGAGATGTGGGGACAGCACATGCAAGTTCGGGTACGATAAGTACCTTGATCATCGATTGCATGAATGTGACGATTGAGTTGGGAAAACAATGAAAAGTTAAATTAATTAATAACAAAGAAATAGTTAAAGGTGTAGTACAAAGTATGTAATTGTTTGAGTCGCTTAAATAGCAAATTGTAAATAAAGAATTAAACAGTCTTTCGACTGGAAGTTGTGTGTTAAATCAAAGAGTTGTAGTAAATACAAACGGAACGTTAGTGTCTAGTAAAGGTGTGCACGTCTCAAGTAGCCAAGCGAGACCATAAACCATATTTATTAATAAACCGTCTGGGTTAGATAGCATTCACTACGGTGATTACTTAACTCTTTGACATTTATTGTTTATTTTTTTATCTCACTTTTTCATAATTTGCAACTCTCTTTACCTGATGACCGAATATTAAGGTTATCCATTCAAAGAATTGCTTTCCAAATATTTTAGTAATGAGTTGAAAATAGGAAATAGAATATTGCATGAAGACATTTGTTTTTGTATTAAATTTTTACAAGGTTCGGCAAATACAACAATCGGGGATGCAAAGATTATCATTTAGCAAAAATACATTTGCATTACGCGATTGAAATAGAATTCTTTCAATGCTCAAGCATTCGAAAAGCATCCATATTCACAAGTAGATAAAAATGCATGAGAAATATCGGTGTAAAATAGATCTAACCTGAAGGAATAGTTGCTATTCCACTAACATAAATAAAAACTTAGTGTTATGCTTTTAAATTTAATTAACTTGCAATGCACTGTGTTATTAATAAATACTATCTTAAAGTTATTTTAATTTTCAAAACAACATACTCGATGAAATAATTTGGAATACACATAGATTTATTATAAGTTGAATTGGGTTTTTTAACGACTCGGGCAAACTTTGGAAGTCTTTCAATCTATGTTTATTCGGAATCAGCCTAGGTGGATTTTAAATCTGCAATAATTCCATTCCGAAGTACATTACATCAATAATTATTATCATTAATTGAAAACTACTCTCCGACTTAGGGATGGATTCCAGTCCCTAATAAGACAGTTCTCAAAACAGTCCTTAATTACCGTATTTCATTTGCAAAGTACTCAAATTTTAAAATATTATTTATATATCATGTGATGTGTAATACCCGTGACTCTAAATTTTGTAATTGTAAAAATCACATTACATGGGTACTTTGGCGAACAACAAAATTTTGTTTACCCCTTGTAATATTAGCCAATCAAATTGTGGTGTGAGTTAGTGATGCCTGACGAACCCATGTGATGCTAATTATCACGTGCTGTTACTGATTTTGGTGCTGGAAAAAGGAACGAAATCGACAAAACAATTTTTGTGTTATAAACCTTGTAATAGATTATAAGAAAATACAAACTTTAAAGAGCTATACTGCAAAATTTTATTAACACAACTACTTTTATGTCTTAAGTGAAAAAAGATTCTAATCTTATTATAAATTAATTTATTTAAAAAAATTTAGTTTGAAAAAATTGTCATTTTCGTTCCTTTTTTCAGCACCTAGCCCATATATTGTACCATGTGACAATTAGCATCACATGGTTTCGTCAGGCATCACTAGTGCTGTAGTGTGAGATACAAATCTAAAAAAGAATCATGAATAAACAAGTCATGAATTCAAGGTTTGGATCAAAAGTCACAAAGGGGCTCATTGCTTTGTTTTCGTAAATTCAGGGCATTGGATAATAAAATTAATTCGAACAATACTTGATTCGGTTATACTATAATAGATTTATAATGTACGTTTACTTCAATGTTATGCGATTTTAACAATGATCTATATACAGTCAACTCTCTCTAAGCGCAATTCATTGGGACCAGACTTTTAGCAACTTGCATTAGGGAACAATTAAGAAAAATTACATTTATAGAGACAAAACGTATACCAAACATATACTTAGGCCCAAAGTTAAAGCTGCATTTAGAGAGAAGTTGCACTTAGAGGGGTTGCACTTAGAGAGAATTGACTGTATAATAGTTGTGTAGTGTATTTGCTATATGATACTTTCAAAGCTCAATCGTTAGAAAATTGATGAAAAAAATTCTTAAGCAATTTAGAAATTATGGATGTATTGACAATGTAAACATATTTTAAACCTAAAAAACCTGATTGGTAATTGTATGAGTTACAATCAAAGATAGAACAATTTTGAGGCTATATGTATATAATCCAGCCAAGAATTCACGATCAAATCGAACTTTTTTTCATTAGCGATTACTTGTGTATTATGAAAATTAATCTTGTATTAAAAACCTTCTTTTATATTAATGTCAAAGTCGGTTAATTTTCGTACATATTAAGAACAATAAAACATATTAGAAATGTATTTAGGTGAAACCTTAATATTGAATATGTTAATATTGCAATACTGGTACGTATTCTATAATTATGTAATAAAATATAGATCATCTATTTAAAAGGTCATCGAATCGGCCAAATAATCATTCATTCAAGTTTTATTCAAGTTTTATTAGATGTACTAAAACAGATGAAAATGGTTATGAAAAATTACTTCTTTTTTGGAATCAGGTATACGTAGTAATTAATTATCCAGTTTTTTAAGCTTATACAATATAGGAGGCGTTTTAGTAAAAGTGTTAGGTAATAACTGTCTGTTAAATTAAGTTGAATTTTTTTATCAATACCATAAAAAATACTTGAAAATTAATATAAAATTTTAAAAGTTATTGATATTTTCTCTCTTTCAAATTTTGTTATAGTGATTGTAAAATATAAAAATCTTAGTAATTAGAATTAGATTCATTTTATGTCAAAAAAAAAAAAAAAATCAAAGCTGTAAAGTTTTATTGTATCATGCTACAGGTTAAAAAATCTTCTGACGGGCACTATAAGTTTACATCATTATCTATACCATAATCATGACCTAAATTTACAAGACATTAAATTTATTCATTCATCCTAAATAAAGCATGATTTTAGAGTGCCAGATCGCGCAACTACATAATTTTTTATTGATTCGAAATTTCAATATACAGGTTGTGATAACTAGTATATGTACAGTACATTTTATGTATGTCTTATTTTAAAATTAATAAATTGCGGGCTTCGAGAAATTAAAAGTTGTTATTACTTATTACCCATTTTTTGTAAGCATATTGTTCAAAAGTAGTAATATTTGGATGTAAAACTTTAGTGATGGAAATGTCACAAACTTCAGGGTCAGAGCGAAAAAGACCGTATTCATTAAACCAACGATTCTATTGAAAATAATTAATAAATATTTATTATTATGCTTTTTAAAAAATAATCCGAATGACATACCATATCGAGTAATTCTTCACTATCCAAGAAGGGAAATTCTTTTTTCGTTTCTTCGCGACTGGGAGTGCGAAGCTTAAATGGTCTTCCAGTAACTGATAGTTTAGTAAAAAAGAAATTTTGCATTTAATAATTTTATAGATAAACAAAAAATTATTAGAAACTTACCTTTAGTCAATATTTCGGCAATTTTTCCAAAAGTAATGCGTTCCGAAGTAACAGGAACTTTCTTTCCATTCCACTTTTCTGGCCCTTCTTCAATAATTTTGGCTACAACGGGCTGAGAACATTTTTACAAATTATTATTATTTCTGTAAAGCCTGCTAATATAGATGATTATGTGATTACTTACGCCAGTGTCAGTTTCAGAGTCAACAATCTCAATAGTGGTGTCTTCTTTGACCAATGGAACAATAAATTCAGATGTTCCATCATCTTTTGTAGATAAATGCGGAGTTCGGAATATCCAAAGTTCTATGTACTTGAATATATTAATATCGTATAAAGACCATATAATAAATTGGCGTTTCTTACCGTAAAAATGTACGACATTGTAATTATGTTCTTCGAATCCCTCGATGGTATCAGGAAGAGAACTTAATATAGATATTAAGTAAGGTCAGTCCTCATGGAATAGAAATATTTCTTTTATAACATTATATACCTATAAATAAGCCAATTCAATCCAACTTCTTTAGCGACGTCGGCAATCACTTTACCTTGTCTTTCTTCTTCAGCCATGTTATTTGGGTAAATGGACTAATATAATATTCACAATTGTCATAAAATATAGTAACTATTATATAGTTAATAAAATGTGATTCCTTAGTTACCGGATCAAAGAAATTGGTGACAATATATGCGATATCAGAGCCATTAAGCGCATTCTTGACATCTTCTTTAATGGAAAGGTCTGCCTTGAAAACTTCGGCACCCTTTGCAACAAGGGCTTTTGCTTTATCAGATTCAGGGTTACGTGTAAGAGCACGGACTCTATATTTTCCTGTTGCGAGGAGGGAATTGGCGACAGATCCTCCTGTGTATAAAAACATATACTTATTATTAAAATGTTGACACGTTTTGGGCGAACACGAATAAATAATACCTTGAGCACCTAAAGTATGTAAAAGAAGTCAATATACATTAATAAATGCTATTAAATACGTTGAATTATTGTTAGTCAAAATGTATTACCAGTAGCTCCACTGACCATTACCAAAGGCTTTTGAAACGACATTTTGGAATTTTGATTTTTTTTTTTTAATGTTTTAATGTTTAGCACGAAGAGACTTTAAAAGCTAATTTATTATAATACTGAATTTAAAAAAAAAAAAAAGATTTTAATCCCAGAAGAAACCTCGAGCCCTTTTATATCATAAAATTTATTATAAATCTGATTATGCGTCAAGATATATTATAAGTTGATTAATAATCATATGCGTTAAGGTTACCTTCCTGATATATAAATTTTGAATTTGAAATAAGTTTTTTGTAATTACTATTAAAACTATTGCTATTCACCGAAAAGCACGACACAATGCATTTATTGGACTATGCCGGCGGTAATTTAGCCGGTTCGTAATTCTGATAAAATTTGCCGATGATTTTTCGGTCGATTCTATTATGAATACAAAAATATGATACTAAGCATTATCGCTAGCTAATGTGATTATTGAAAAAAATTTAGAGGGCTTATTAGTTTGAAAAATTGCCAAATACGTAGGTGTTTGCATTAGGGATGGATATATAAATTAAAATTGATTAGAACTAAATTCTGCTTGTATTATCTTATAAACAAAAAAGTAAGATACCTCAAAATTGGGCTTGTTGGAATCGTCTCATAGAGACGACCATTTTGGTAGTTGGTTCACACAACACAAATCAGTACATCAAGAGTTATTTAATGTGAAAAAAATGTCAAATAACATATCTTTTAGTACAGTTCCAAAAATGGACCCATACCGATACGAAATTTTGAGACTCTATATTTGGGAAATGTGGCTTGATTCTTAAAGAATAGTAAGAGTAGAGTTTAATCCGAAACAAACTTTAATTAGTATACAAAAAGAAATATTTTAAAGTTTAGGAAATTGGTTATAATCAATAATTAAGCATAACTGACCGAGTCCATCAAAATATGGATCCATTGAAAAAACCATTTTAGACAAATATTAATTTTTGAAACTCATTTAGGGTTACATTTTTAAGCCAGCCAACAAATTCTATAAAGTTAATGCAAGATATTAAATAACGGTTTTATTCAAAGAGTTTACTATTTCAGCTTATGGAATAAGATCGTTGATTGATTATCTAACTTTTAATATTAGCACCTATTTTGTGTAATACAGTATATTTATTACTTAACTTCTTACGCCAGGCATAGCGTTGTAGAAGAATTATTTTACGATAGTGGAAATAGTGGAATTGTAATCGATGATTTGCAGTTCTGCACGTGGAATTGCCAATTCTGTAATTTATGCAGAAGTTACATTGTTGTTATCCCTTACCTAAGTGTGTCTCATTCATTAGAATATTTTCTGCTAATTAGCTGCCCGATAGGAAAGTATCGGAGCATTTTATCTTGAATCGATCACAAGTGTATAGTAATTGATCTTTGATGCATTATCGTATGATTTTAGCCCTTTGATGCATTACAGTTGATTTATTGTATGATTTCCTTAGTTGCGTTATCATGACTTATTGTATGGTTTCGTGTGTGGTTTTAGAATATTTTAGTTTGAACTAATTTTACACAGTATTTACTTGTTATCTTATGGAATATTTTACTTACCGTAAATTCGGGCATGGGGTTATTTTGAATTTTGGCCCGAATTAAGCTTAATTTAGGCCAAATTTTGTAATTTTACCCCTGGGCGTTATTTCGAGAATTTACGGTATAAAAATTTTTTTTGTTAATAAATTTATTTAAAAAATTTATAAAAATTGGAAAGATAAGTTTGCTAATTTTGATTATAATTTTTTTTTTTAAATAATAGACTAATGCAGTCGATACTGTCTAATTGCATACCGACTTTTTTATGCATATATACAGTATACTGTATGCAATCTCGTATCGCGTGATATATTAACCGATTAAAATTATTAAAATTTTATTAATAATTTGTCTTTAAAAATGTATAACTTTTGTTCCAGTGGTCTGTTTTGGATTATATAACTACCAAAATGAATGCTTACTAAGACAATTTTAATAAGCCCAAAATCGTTAAAATCCAATCACAGGATCACGAGACCGTTAACAACTTGTGTTACTTTAAATATATAATACAAATCATTAACAATCTAGTGATCCTGTGATTGGATTTTGACAGTTTTAGGCTTGTTAAAATCGTCACAGTGAGTTAATAATTTTGGTAGTTAAATAATCTAAATTAGTTCACTAGATTAAAAAATCTAAAATATATACAGTATATCTAAATAATTTTTACATATCTTAATTTTAATAAATGTCATAGTATAGTTTGGCAGAAATTTTTTAATTATATTAATAAAATTGTTGAAAAATTTTTTAAACTCTATTTTTATATTACTAGTATACTATCTAATCTTAAATTTATTAAATAATTTTATAAAATAAACTTGAATTATATAAAAGGTTTAAAATTTATTGTCTAGAACGAAGTAACAGACCTTTAATTTCTATGCATAGTGATACAAATGTTACTTTATTAATGATCAGATATTACAATATTAAAAAAGTAACTTTGCATTTTTTATTTGTCCACTATGAGACAAAAGTTACTTTCTTCATGCATCAAATATTATTGCTTTTAGAATTAAAAGTTTTCTAAAGAAGCATTTTTTTACTAAGCTAACCTCTTTTCAATTTCTAACTAAAGTTGTAGAAGAGTGTATTGTGATTAAAATGGTAGTTAAACCATTAAAATCAGTCTAGTAGATCATAAGATATAAATATTTTTATCTTTGTGATTATATGTTTTTTTCTTTATATAAATAAAAAAAGCATATAGTTGTGAAAACTAAAATACTTATATCTCATGATTTTCTAGGCAGATTTTAATGTTTTAACTGCCATTGTGATACAAGACATGTCTCTAAATCTTTACTTAGAAGCTAGAAAGCAATTAACTAAGAAAGCTTTTAAACATCACATTATTTTTTATAATTTTATTAATAAAATTATAAAAAATATTGAAATCAACAAATTTATACTAATTAAACCTACCTTAATGTTCTAAGTAAACTTGTTCTATATATTAAAATATATCATATTAGTATATATTTATCTTATAGTTTTAGATTTTAAAAAAAATAAACTTAATTTTGAATTTTTGATCAAAAATTGTAAAATTAAGCATTTTGTTTCTTAAAATTTAATATTATAATATAAACATACAAGATCTTTGCTAACAAAATAACCTTCTAAGGCTATGTTAAATTTGTGAATAAAAATTAAATTTGCTATCTATTTAGCAATCCAATTTGAATTATTTTATAAATCCCAATAGAATCTACAAATTAAAAAAAATTCATTCAAATTGAATTAGATAACTAGCAAATTTAATTTTTATTCACAAAATCAACATAGCCTCAGAGAGTCATTTTGTTAGCAAATATTTTATATGCTAATATGATATATTTTAATATATAAAACAAGTTTACATAGAATATAAAGATATAATTAATTAGTAAAATGTTGAACATTATACTATTTTTATAATTTTATTAATAAAATTATAAATATTATTAAAATTCTCAAACTTTTACTAATTAATTATATCTTTGTGTTCTAAGTAAACTTGTTCTATATACAAAAATACATCATACTAGTATATATTTACTTTATAAGTTTAAATTTTAAAAAAAATATGCTTAATTTTGAATTTTTAATCAAAAATTATAAAATTTGGTATTTAGTTCTTAAAATTTAAAATTTTAATATAAAAATATGCTAATATTATATATTTCTATACATAGAGCAAGATAGCAGACAAAGAAGAAATATAAGTGAAAACTTTAGATCTCGCAGTAATACAAGAAAGCCGCTTAGAAAAATAGAAGACAATAGATTAAATAGACAGAATTACTTACTAAACAAAGTAGCAACTAATGCCAATAAGATAGAATTAGGCAATACAAAAGAAAAAGAAAATCGAGAGAAAAGAGCTAAGAAGTACCGCCTCTAATGACTTGGAACTACAAAGCAGTATTTTAGAGCAAATCCTAATTAGACTTCAAAAAATCAAAGAAAAACAGGGGGCTATAGGCCCCAATCTCTCCTAAAAGGTACCACAGGCGTATCAATAAAATCAAACAAGCAAAACTGCTTGACAGAGCAAATACCACTTAAGATAACTACAAATGCCCTAAATCGTGAATTAAAGTTAGCATGTTATAATATTAATGGGCTCAAATCGAACAATCATAAGCTCTTACATTTAATAGATTGGGCAAAAGAAAATAAAATAAATATCATAGGAATTATAGAAACAAACATTTCAGACAGGAAAGGTCACTTCATTCTTGAATCTGAGAGCCCCTTTAAAGGTTATTAGACAAGCTCATGTTCTAATAAAAAGAAAGGATCAGGATTAGGAGTTCTTATCAGAAAAAATATTCACAAATATACAAAAAACATCAAAAGACAATGAGTATTTGCTAGAGTTTCATATAATACTAAAACACTTAAAAATAGCAGTATTAATTGTATATCTTCCACCAAATAATGAAAATCAAATTAATTTAATTCAACAACAAATTGAAGAAATATATCTCTGAATTATAAGGTAATAATTATGGGAGATTTCAACTATATAACAATACCAGAACTTGATAAACAGAGCCTTAGTAGCAAAGTTATACACAAAAAACTTCCACTATATGAATGGATGATAAGTCAAAAGTTTGTAGATACCTTTCGTCATTTAAATTCTGATTCGCAAGCCTTTACATAGACAAATGGTAACACAGCCACACAGATCGACCAAATTTAGATTTCCAAGGGCTTAGTGGAAAATCTATATAAAGCAAAAATTCTATATATGGACTGCATAACAGGAAGCAACCACAACACAACATTAGTTAGCTTGAATAGCGAAAGTGATATACAGTACCAGGCTTATAATACTATGAAGACCAAGAAATTTTATCTGAAATTTTTATATGAAAAAGCTACAACTAAAAATTAGAAAGACTACAAATCTTCACTACAGTACTTCTTTGACAAACGTGCTTCCTCATTAATTGTATTAAACAAGG